ATAAGTAATAGTTCGAATATTTTTTTTTTTTCTTTTGCTAAAAACATGTCACTTAAGAGTTTGTAATGAGTGTTCATACATGAAATATAGTTGTATATATATAGAACGGTAAATACTAAATAACCGTTGAAAACAATCGTGAATTAGCCGCTATAATTTTTATTTATATATTATTATTATAGCTCGTTTAGCCCGTTTAGTCCGAATCCCGCTAGAGTTAGGGTTAGGTCCTTTTATTGGTAGCCCATTCAAAATTCGGGCGTTTTAGGCCCAGACCGTTTAGCCCGAAGCCCGTTATGACTAACTCGAAACCACCAGGACTAGCCCGTTTAACATCTCTAAAACTAACCAAGTATGCTTCACATAGTCGAGTGCAACAATATTTTTTGTTTATTTATTTTATAACTGCACTGAAAAAATTAATAATCATCAGTGGTCCTGAAAACAAGAAGAAAAAGGACAGCTCAAAAGTAAAAAGCTTTCAATGAATACTTGAGCGGTAAGCACTGAATCGCTGATAAATTCTTCCAAAACATCCGTACCCTCAGCCAGTGCCCGCCATATATATTCACCCAAACTTGGCTTTCAATCACGCAACCTGGTTTAACTAGCAGGTTCGCATGCTTCGAGGATACTATGTAGCAAATTTACATGCTTCGTTATTACGTTTTGGTATTTTAATTTGCTTACAATCCAAAATTAATTAGGTCAGAATTATCCATAAATATGTTGATTATTTATGGTCATGTTACATGTATTGAATCTGTTGATTAATATCATTTCGTATTATAACCATTGAATTGTAAATGTATTTTAAAAGGTAATAACTTTTGTATTTTTTTTATCAGTTTTACTATATAATAGATCAAATTAATCATCTCTTGATGAATTTTGATTTAACATGCATATTGTATGTAAAAAAAAAAGATAAATTATATTTATCTTTATAACAATAACAATTGTTTTATATTATTAATTACAAAAATAAATTTATTTATCATTTAATATATTTATATTTCAAGTAGTTATATGATATAAGATATAAAAATTACTATAATATAACACATGTAAGTCGCACAAGTAAAAAATTGTCATTCTAAAATATATAATAATATATATTTTTTTTTTGTAAACAAGTAAATAAAATTTAAAATAATTTTTCTCATTAATTTAAAAATTTAAGATTAATTGTTTTAACAAATACTCATGTAATATACGGATGTTATACTAGTATCTATATAACAGGCGTGTAATACACGAGTGTTGTACTAGTATTTATATAATACATAAAGAGGTGGTTATTACTAATTTAGTAGGTTGTGAAGTAGATCCTCAATATTTTTACTACCTATGGAACAGAACTTTCAATTTATATTTTTGGTTTTTTATTTATCCGTAAAAATAATCACAATAGTGATTGTAGTGAACTGTCTCCACGATTGCTAAAGTCTATCATGCTCAACTCATTTTAAAAGATACATTTTCTTACAATTAAGTTGTAACTACCTCAACACTAGTTACCTTAACCAATGTTTTTACATTTTTTAATATTGAATTTAAACTTCTTGCACATTTTATAAGTTATTATTTGATGTTTATTACCAATACATATTTACAATAAATTTGTAAATACATCGAACATTAATTAAGTTAAGCAAAAAGTATATTTTTTAATATTAAATTTCAACTTCTTGCACACTTTATTAAACATTATAAAATATTTTTTTATGTTTATCCATATTAAATATAATTAAATATTAAATATTTATACGTGTTATTATATTTGTTACTTAGCCTAGTGACTAATTCTCCTTCCACCAATTAGTTTTGGGATGAAACCTCACTTGGGCGTCAATAACAAATAGTTTGTAACGTTTTTATAAAAAAAATTGCTTTATTTTTATTCGCTTTTTTTCTTTATTTTGCAAAATCTCTCTCTCTCTCTCTCTCTCTCTCTC